CTAACCGTAATGCCTGTTTCAGCAATATCCGTGGCCAAGATAATTTTCCGTACATTCTCCGGTGCTTGTTGAAAGATTTTCCGCTGCTCGTAGTGTGATATTTTGGAATGCATCGGCAAAATCAAATGATTTTCATTATAGGACGATGTATCCTCGAGCATGCTTTGCACCTTCATGATTTCATTCCAACCTGGTAAGAAGCACAAAATAGCACCGGGCGGCTTATGCGACGAGATCCATTTTATGACCTGTACTATTTTTCCAATATCAATTGAAAGTTTTCCGACTTCATCAATTTCAAAGCGACTTTTGGGTACATATGTTTGATATTTCTGGATATTTGGTAAATGCTCAATATCCTCCAAGAAATGCATTTTTACAGCAAACAATCTACCAGGTACTCGTATAGTGGGACAATCGAAATACTGTTGAAATATGTGCGTATTTATAGTTGCTGACATTATCAGTACTTTTAAATTAGGATTTTTCTGTAGGACTCTCTTGAGTAGAACCATTAGCATGTCGGTATCCATTTGGCGTTCGTGCGCCTCGTCCAAAATGACATGCGAGCATCCTTCTAAACTAGGATTGGTCTGCAATTTTCTCAGTAGCATACCAGTGGTACAAAAAACTATCGCACCGAGTTCCTTCGGCAATACTTGTTCTAGTCTCACGTGAAAACCTACAACGTCTCCCACATGCTCTTTTCTTTCATACGCAATACGATCTGCCAAAGAGATCGCCGAGATTCTACGAGGCTGTGATACCAATATATTGCAATCTGTAGCATTACCATTCTTCGCGAAAGCATCTAATATAAATTGAGGTACTTGTGTAGTTTTGCCGCAACCTGTATCACCCTCTATCAATAGAACTCGATGGTTTTCCAACCGAGAGAGAATTTCATTCCTGTGAAAAACAGATAATGTATATATTGAAAATTACAAAGCATATTATAAGTATACATATAAATATGAAATAATGTTCTTATATCTTTCATACTTAAACTCGTGAATTGGTAAAGTGGCAACGTCATCGTTATATCTTTTCCAAAATCTATCCTTCAACATTTTATTTCGAAGGAGAGTATTCGAGTAAGCATTGTCTTCAAGTATCGGATGATGAATTAACGTCTGATACGATGGATTTAAAGTATTTTTCAATGTCATACTCTGTATTTCCTGAATATTATATAATTAAAATCATCAAATGTTATACATACTAATGAAATACATTTTACATTAATCTTGCTGGTCTACTCGGGATCTATAATATAATTAATTTTCTTACTAATATTTTAATTAAAATATTTTTTTCTAGTATTTGATAATTTCATCCGTTAATGTAGTTCTTTTCTCTGTAAAAATATTTGATTTTTTAAAGTTTCTTAATCATATTAATTTAAATAATAATATAATAAATTTGAATAGACCAGCAGGGTAAGAAATTGTGATGCAGAATTTTTACCATGTTATAAGTCTCGATTAACTCTGTCATATTATTTAAAATTTCAGGAGCAACATTTAATTCAACAAGCTTAAATCGCATGTCCCTCATTTCCTCTTCATTATAGATAAGTGGCCTGCCATTTTTTAATTTGTTATTTATTTCTAGATACTGCAAACATTTCCAAGCTGCATTTTTGAAAGAGAGTGTTTTGGTTTTACCAATTTCTTTGAAAGACATAACTTCTGGCCATTTGACATTAATAGTAACTTCCCATAATTTAGATTTATTTACAGTAATGGTCTTAATATTTGAGGTTAAAATTTTTTTGTCTTTTAAATCATGACCTACTATTGCATAAATAGACAATAAAGAAGATTTTGGGTCTGGGTACCAGCGTTCTATTCCTATAACATTCAAAAATTTTATTATGACAAGATAATGAAAATGAAATATATATGAACATGCAGAAACATTTTGTACTTAATACAATCACAGAATACACTTATAAAAAAAGACAAACATAAAAAAATTTAATACACATAAAAAATACATTTTGCACTGTATTTCAATTGTAAATTATTTCTAACTTAATTTTTATTTACTAAATTTGAAAATCATTTTGTAATATAAAAAAATAATTTATACATACGTTTTTGGTGCATAATTTCCTTATTAATTCTGTGAGATTTACCATGCTTTATTTCAAATTCATCGAGGATTTGCTGTTAAAATTTTTATTATCTTTAATAATTGAATTTTTATCCCTATTGTGCATTATGAATTGCTTACCTCTGATAAGTTTTCCCTTGTAATATTTGCATGTAAATATTTAGTACCCACACTTTTGTATTCAAAATTCTTTTCCTATTTATAAAATAATAAAACACAGATTCAGAAAAATTATCTGCACAATACACATAACATACAAAATTACACCTTTAACATACCTGAGATAAACGTTTATCTTCATCTTTCATAGAAACACAATATCGCACTGCAGTATGCAAGTCTCTAATCACATTTTTATTTGAATATATTACACGATACTGATAAAGCCTATATAACAAAATTAATTTATTATATATCACAGAAGTAACTTGTATTGAATCTATTAAAAGTAGAATAAAAATTGAATTCCACTTCATAAAAATTCAAATCCATTGAATTTAACTTCACAAAAATTGAAATTCATTAAAAATTGAATTCCACTTTAAGAAACTTTAAACATCCAACAGCTTTGTCAACTTTATTATACAAATAAAACTAAATCTTCAATTTCAGCAATCACTAATTAACTGATAAATTAGCAATGAACAATCCATCATGATTCAAATTTACACTTTTGATATCTTGATCATCTAACTGTTAATCAATGCTATAACACAAATGAAACTGAGTCTTAGCAATTGCTAATTAACTATGACAAATTAGCAAGACAACTGAAAATGAGAAATGAGATACTCCAGTAAATAATATATATTATTGTTATATACCGTCTATATGCTAATCTTAGTCCAGGAAATACTTGTAACGTTCCCAACATTTTTTCTTTGTATATATGCACTCTTTATTTTATATATATATATATATATGTATATATATGATATGTGCTTCCTAAAAAGGAATGTATTTTTAGAATTTGCTGAAGGTTCAAGCAAGTCCTTAGATAAAAATAGCAAGAAATTCAGAATCAGTTACCTCGAGTATCGTAGTCAAGCCGGGTCAATTCACGTGGTTGAGATCGAAACTTCTGTTTCTTGGTTATAGACACTTACCGTCTGCGATCAGAATGAATGAAATGATCCAGAAAGTTTGTGACAGCGCTTACATTCACGAGGAAATATTATCAAGATGTATTTTTTCATATATAGGATAATAAAGCGTTGCCTTTTATCTGTAAAGTACCAGTTATGCGTTTTCGATATTCTCGCCTGTAGTTCCCATGTATTCTCATGCATCTCACATCATCTCGCACCATCTATCAGTTTCTAAACTTTCTATCTTTCGGTAATTCCACGTATTTATCTGCAATCGCTGCGAAAATACCGACTGTGATAATAATCGAACTGATGATACCAACTGTAGAATCTCCTCCATCATGGTGGTTTCCTCTATCATGGTGAATGATGGGAGTGACTTATCTTTCTTTTTTCTATCACGATGGCGACCAGGGCGACCATTAAACGTGTTGCGAGATGTTAAGTGCATTTCGGGTCGTTTAGATTAGACAGTCAAAATTTTTGAACAGCAAAACTGTTGCGTTATGCTGAACGCAAAAAAGTAGTCAACGTTACTGATGAAACAGAATAATGCCTATTGAACGCTTCCTGTCCAATGGCTCCTGTTAACTGATATCAAACTGCTGTTTTCAACATAGTAAATCTGGTACTTCTATTGACTAGAATTAAGAATACTATCTTCATTCGCTTTGTTCCCATTTATTGCCAGTACTGATCTATAGTATATACTATATCTATAGTATACCTATATCTATAGTATAGGTAGTATACTACAGGTATTCAGTATTGGCAATGAATATCGCAACACAATAATATTAGTGAATAATAAATTTATTTATTAGTGTTAATATTATTTATGTATAGTATTTACAAATTTACAAATTAGATTAAGTCAATAAACTAGTATTCTGTACATCTATTAGTATTATGTACATCGATTAATTTATTTATTTACTATTTACATTATATTTGTTTTTTTTTTTTGGTAGACGTGAACAATATTCATAGCTGATGATATTATTCAAATCTGTTTTTTTAAGACAAATCTGTTTTTTCAGATTTTTGTTTTGATAGGAGGGCATCGATTTTGAAAGGATCAGACTTACTATGCTGAAATACAGTTTTGTATTATTTTGTATCTGAGCCTGTATTGAAACTATTGAATAAAGATATTGAGATTAAACCATGTTGACCTGTTCTGATTTACCAGATTAGGGACAGGAAGCGCTTTCTTCATCAGTATCAGACTACCGATTCTCTACCTCAGAGAATTCAAAATGCTCATCTATATTCTATTCTTATATAGGAATTATATCGAATCAAGTGCTTTCAGGAACTGAAGGATTATTCGCATTACTAATTTGATTTCCGAATTCGATGAAGACAAATTTGATAATAAATATTTAAAGGTGAAATATTTAAAGGTGAAGAATTAGTTATGCAATTTGCTAAAATTTTATAATAATAAAAATATCAAATTAATTAACATAGGCAATTAATATAACTTTGATAATTAATTTAAATAATCGCTTAATACAAAATGATAGACATCATGTGACTGATAATTGAACTAAAATTACATTTGCCAGCGCTATACTTACGTACAACAAAATCATAACATATAAGTACATAGGATACACGATTTATCCTTTTTGTCAACAAACATTAAACAAAAATGAAATGATATGATAACGCGAACGATGTAAATGTATGTTAAATGAACATATTCCTAGTGCATATACAACAAAAAATAAGTTTGAATGTGGTAATTTTATTATTAAAATATTAATATACAATAAAATACACAGAGATGCATGAGTAATACACCATATTATAAGTTTTGTGGAAAATACTGAATAAGTATAATATTAACATTTCATAAAAATATTTAATATATATTACAATAGTTAGCAAGATAGATACACCATACTAATCTGGTTGCAATCGTTATTAATTTAATATAATCTGCTCCTTTGCTGTCAGTCTTTTTTCATTTTCGTTAGGAGTATGTATGGAATATAGGCACCTATATTCTTGTATCTAGAGATGTGCCGTTATCGTCTATGAGTACCAGATTGTTGCTATCAAATTTGAGAACTTTAAGGACCTGTTGCTGTTTCAATCCAACCCTTCAATATACCCTTTTTCTTTTTGCCTCTTATAGCAATTAAAATTCTATCACCTGAATAATACATATAGCAATGTTTAGATAAATTTGATCCTATAAAATGATAAATATCTTTTATGTAGTCTCATTTATTGTCTCACCGATGTATTCCACCCCCGCACTTATTGTACATGTATATGCAATATGATGGTCTACCCTCCATCATAGTTTGCCTCGCTGTTATCCACTATTCTCAGTCGACTCAATTTAATTATCTGACTTACAAGGGTTGAAGTAAAAATGTTTCTGCTTGCGACACTTGACACCGCAAAAGGCGACAATATTATGATTTTAATCTCCCTTGAAGATAATCAGAAATATCATATGATATAAAAAATTGCATAATGTATTTAATATTACAATAGCAACGTAACTTCCTCTTAGCAGAAAGAAGACAAATGATGTTAGGGACAATAAAGTTAAAAGTTAAACGAATTCTTTTTTCTTAGATATTTTTTTATGATGATTACTATAGAATACAAGTTTTCTCGTTGACAATTCTAAATCTAAAATCAGTTTGGAGTATTTAATCGCGATAATTTCTCCGAGATAACAGAAAGTACAACAATTTTTACATAGCCTTAACTTTGCTTAGGATATTAAACCTAATCTAAAGTCATTGACGGTGCGCAAATATAACGATACGGAAAACGGAATTTTTTATTGTCATGAACAAGATTCATCATCTCGAGAGAGCGTTAATGCATTTTACTACTGAATTGCATAAGAAATACACCGTAGCGTAAAAATATAGCTTAATAACAAAAGATTTACTGGTCGCAAAAGTAACAGACATCGTATTTTTTTTATTAGTGGATAAAACGTTTTATAAAATAATTAATAAAATCTCACATGTAACACTATAATTTTTGACGACGATAGAAATTATTATTGTTTATTAATACAACGTATTTTCGCGCGTCACCGGGTATATAATTCGGCATCATCAGGTTAGGGGTAGGTCAGATTGCATTATGGAGTGGTTCGTCCGCTGTGAGAGCGGCGATCGTATAAAAATTCCAGTATTATAAAGACATGCTTTTTATTATCACGAATTCGTTTCGTCTCAACTACATCATGTGTGATTTTATTGTAAACGCAGAAAGGTAAGGATAAGAGGCTCTAAGCGTTGAAAGTTTTGTCTCGCGAGTGGACTTAGAGGTTATGTCGCACGTGAGAACTACGTTAACCTACCTGCGGTGACATTTGAGGATCTTCACGCACGGAACGAACGAAAGAATGCCATCCGAGAAACCCTGTCGCGCTTGTATGGACTTCCGGACATGGGCGAAACGCCAGAAGGAAGTCTACGACTCGGAGAAGGTAAATCGGTAGTTTATTGACAAATTCATTGAGGTTTATTATCAATTTTATCGCTATTACTCAAGTTTCAGAGCTTATTTCATCAGAGATAATTATTCTTATCCTATTTTTTAGAGACAATTATTCTTGCTTTTTATTATAAATTTACTATGACGTCATTAATAGATCTGTTCTTTTTTCGGCTGAATTTTTTGTTAATTTTTTTCTTTTTCTCTTCAATACGAGAGTGCAAGAAGAAAAACAGGGAAAATGAACTATGTAAAAAATTCAGCTAAAAAAACAGACCTATAATAAAAATTCTATTAGGGCTTTCCAATTTTAAACAATATAATGAAACAATATAGTAGGCTAATGAGAGTCAGCAATAATAAACAATTATTTATTGAACTATTAATATTCAAATTGTGTACAAGTAAAGATGACATTAATCCAATGTTTGACTCTCATTAGCCTACTATATTGTTTCTTTATATTGAACAGACCTTACAGATAACAATAACAATTACAAGCTATTATTATAAATTATAAACCAGTTCTTTTCAGTTGAACTTTTTGCATGAATTATTTCTCTTCTTTTTCTTTTCACATTGGAGAAGAAAAGAGAGAAGATGAAGAAGTTTAATTAAAGAAGTTTAGTTAAAAAAACAGACAATTTGTATAAATTTTTATTTCAGGAAGTACAAAAGAAATCGGAGCAAACACCAAATGCAAGGAACAATGGTATTCGACAGAATTGTCCTTTAGACAAAGACGAGTTGGGTTCGAAGACTTGGGCCTTTTTACATACCATGGCGGCGTATTATCCTGATCATCCAAATGAGAAACAAAAAGCTGACATGACCAGCTTCTTTGATACATTTTCCAAATTGTATCCTTGCAATATATGCGCAGAAGATTTGCAGGAGCGATTGAAATACTCGCCACCACAGACCGGATCGCAGGAAAAATTGAGCCAATGGCTGTGCAGAATTCATAACGAAGTTAATAAGAAACTTGGAAAACCAGAATTTGATTGTAAACTGGTGAATCAGAGATGGAGAGACGGTTGGTTAGATGGTTCTTGTGATTAATAAGTAGCAATAATAGTTTTAGAATGTACAATGGGACCTGAATACAATACGAATTATTGTGTAAATAATTATTGTAGATTTTTTTCATTGAACAATCTACTTCTCTTAAATTTGTTGGTACAATGTACATAAGAAAATATGATAATGGAAATTAATAACAATATAAGTACTTAAAAAGCTTTCCATGTTTAGCTTTTTTTCTGCGGGGTAATTTTACTTTAAAATAAGAAAAAAATAGGAACGAAATTGTATCATACTTTATTATAAACATCTTCGTGACAAGAGAAAAATTGTATAGATTCAGAACTACATACAAACGTTTGCCAGTGGCAATTTGGTATTGTTAACATTACTCTATTATTTGAATTAGGATTTTCATCTTGATAGATACAATGCAGAAATGTGTACATTTGTTGCATTGCACTATATATGGTAAAAAATATATTGACAATATAAAATCTTTTTTTAATAGCCATTTCATTTTTGCAATAACTTTTTTAACAATGCATTCCACCAGTGGTTGCACATTTATTTACTATGTTTGTTTTTTATTCTAAACTTCGTGGTCGATTAACACAAGCCGGTGTCCGTGTGATAGTAAATGCGGTAGCTGTTCGAAGGGCAGGCTCATAGCTGTGATCCTGGCCATAACCACCTATGGGTACAACTTGAAATGTTCTAATGTGGAATGGAAAACGTTTATTATTCACAGATGGTCGAGTTACATATAAAAACAGTATGTGACCCAAGAAGACAATGAAGAGGGAACTTCCTTTGGCCACGCTCTCTCTCACCCATTCGTCTATGAATTTTGTGTTGATCAATATCTATAGAAATAAACAGAAAGACATGTTTTATTTTTACAGAATATTTTCTATATAAGATAAAGATATAATAAACAATTATTTCAAACAAACTAATTTTTGGTAGTTTTTGTTTGAAACAATTTTTTATATGTATGCATACTGTTAAAGGATGAAAGAGGAACCACACTGATCCCAAGAAAAGTAGCGAAGAGTAGAAGTGGAGCTTCACATGCAATTTTCTGACGGTCTTAAAACAACGAGTGACAAACACGAGCCAGGCAATTAATTTCAATGCTATTAAAATATAGCCAGGTAGCGACTCGTAAATGTACAACACTAATCCTGGATCGAATGCCTCGAATTGATATATACACAGCGACATTTGACAAAGACCAGTAATACTGACAAATAGTATAAGCCATCGAATTTGCGACGCCGTAAGGACACTTTTGGTAACAGTGTAACCCAGAGCGAGTAACAGCATAAGAACTGTGTATAGAGTCTCAGAACACGCTTCTAAGAGTTGGCCTAGTAAATAAGCATTCAATGCTGACACTCCTGTTAGACCAAGATTAATGTAATTATAAAGCTCGCATGACACTCCCAGTAATTGACACAGCAGGGAGGCTATGAACAGTTTGTAGGATATGTGCAGCAGCCTCCTGGAGCGCAATTGCAGCGCTATGTAGAGACTGAGAATGAGGAATATCGTATACAAACAGACGGTTGGTATCAGCAGTGGCAGTATGTCTAAAACGAAAAACGGGCACAATTAAGGAACGTTACTCTGAGACTCGCCGATTATCGGGAAAGTCAAATTACTTGCAGAATTCGTCCGCAGAAAAATGCTCCTTCCAGAATGTCCCGGGCGGCGCGTTGGTCAGCGATATCAAATACGTGATGTTCAAGCCTTTCGTGGAAGAGCAGTCGGCTAAAACCATATACCACCATCTCGGCCGAGATGAGACGAATCTTCTCTGGCTAATGCATCGAACTATACCGTCGTCATCCTCGACGCATCCCGAAGCGAATCTTGTTCTCGTCGATGTGTTCAATGGTATTATTTGACCATTTTCAAGAGAGAGAACATTCTCTTTTTCCTGACACGTCTTATTGGAAGGATAGACAGCGGGCCATTGGTGTTCTCCATCGTAGTACAGAAGGAGCTTCAAATTGCGTTCTTCACCTCCTAATTGAAAGTGGAATCGAAAAGTACCAATCTTCGTTAAAAAACAGAATCTTGCGAGGAATGCCCAGTTCTGAAAAATTGCAATTTCAAGTATTTGTTATACTCTCGCTATTCTATATTCTATGTTTTTTCAAACGGTTTACAAATCATTGGAGTCATTACTTTATTAATAAATAATAACAGTATTGCTTCTGCATTAGGCATTATTGACTACATCTAAAGCATATTCCCAAGTAGCAAATTGACGTCAAATAATGACGTCTTAATAACATTTTAATGATGTCTTTAAGATTAATCATTAAAATGTTACCTTGCTACTTGAGTCAATTCTAAAAATACTATGCAACACTTTCTAATAAATACCAACTGACAGTAAAGATTAAAAGATTTATAATTAATATCTACATATGTTATTAGTATCAGAAGGACCTTCGCAAATGCAATGAGAGAAAAAAGTATAGAAAAGATTTTTATAATTGCATGTCTTCACAATCCATTAAATAATAAATTATATTATCGATATTATAATTTTATACTTAGGAATATAAACGAATACAACATCTATGGTATGTAATAGTTATATCGTTGAATGTAAAATAACATTGATTACTTAGTTATTGTTGGTTTACTAGGTTGTAAAGGCATGCGATAATTGTAAAAATATTTTTATTGTTTTATAATTTAAGTCACGTTTCACAATTTAAATGTAATTTTAATTTAAAAAAATATATTTTTACCATACTTTTAAAAAATATTTTCATTATAATTAAAAAAAAATATTTTTACTATATTTTTCCTCACTGCATTTGCGAAGAGTCTTTTGATACATTCTAATGAAATGTGTATTAATTAGAAATTTTTCAATCTTTCTCTTTCTGATTTGTCAAGATCATTAAAACATTAAATCATTACATCACTACATCAAATTTAAATAATAAAAAAGATTATATCCCTCCGGGAATACAATTCTTATTACTTTAACATTAATTATCGCCTTCATTATTCGCTTTACATTTGCCTTTTAAATCGCACTTATTTAATGAAAATCTACTCATTTTTTATTAACAGCAGGTAGAAACTTATTGAAAACTTCGCTCGTAGGTACACGTCGCGCAATAATATTGACCATACAAAAGTGCTATGGACTGAAACTCCGGTGAAATGACTTCATTTGATATTTTATTAAAATCAATTCTACTCTGATAGTTACTCTGGGTGTAATCAAGTCGCCCTGGAGTATCTTGGCATCGGCGTGTCGAAGCAGCGGCAAATGCGCGATCGAAAAGAGCAGCAGCAGAAAGCCCAGCTTCGAGTTCCGAGTACGCGAGGCTCTTGCGACGAGCGTTCCTCCGCACATTACTATACCGCGATCGCTACAGTTGCATACTGTCAACGGTTAAGCGGCCGCTTTGATCAATATTTCCCGGTGCCATGACTTGTATATCGATTTGATTATTCGCACGAAACGGGTCGACATTCGCGAGATGTTGAGAAAAAGGAAAAAAGGTCAAGAGAATGCTCCCACGCACGAAATTTTGTGCTGTAGATTCTCTCTTCCATGTATTTTCTATTTCCTCTTTTTCTTCTACACTGAAAAAATTTACTAAATCTTAATACATGTTTCATTAAATAGTACCAAGTAAACATTTATTTACAGTAAATAATTACTTAAATATATATATATTTTTAATGAAAGTGTTAAATTAATATAGTTTTTATATCAAATAAATGTATGTTTATATTTAGTAAATATTTACTTAGAACTATTCAAAGAAATATTTATTAAAATTTAGTTTTTCTTTTTCAGTGTAATACTTGAATATATACGTTTTGATTGCGGGAGATTTAGGTAAAATATAATGTAGCTAAAGTTTTATTACTCTAATTACTTTTTATCATCCTGATTGATTATTATTCAGCACTCTCTCACGCTTTTTGTACATAAATTTTGTGTAGATATTAAATTGAAGAGAAAAAGAAAGAAAAAGGAACATTTTTCTAGAAAATGTAATATGCAATTTTTATTGACTTTTATTCTAAAGAATAAAATCTCTTTCTTAAAGATTTAAAATTGATTGAAAACTGTTTTTTAAGATTGGCTCCATTTTCACTTTTTAGAATGAGATTCCACTTCAAAAAATTTAGAGAGTAGATAAAAAACGAAAAGAAGTCGAGTGTGCTACATAATAATTGTTCGCGTGTCCCTGACATTTGTGTGCACGTCGCTTGCACGGCATGTAGTATGCATGTGCAATGTGTTGCATTCTTGCCAGTTGATCGAATTGATTACTTGCAACAGCGAGGAAATAATACTCGCTGTGTATAACGTATTATTTAATTTACTATATTTAGGAAAAAAATTGATTCTTTTAAACAAGTCACCTCGTTTACATTTTTTGTATTCAAAAGAGAAACAAGAGAAAATAATAAGTTTACATTAAAAAAAAAATAATAAAAAGATAATATTTACGCAAATGCGTAAATATTTATTTATTTATTAAAAAATATTTTTAATAAATAATATTTAAACAAAATAATAAAAGAGATAGGCTCACTGGATTAAATCGGTCACAGTAATGCCGATACGGAGCTACATCCTGTGTTAACTCCATATCGGCATTATTCATCGTAATAATATTTATTTATTAAAAAATATTTTTTTTTTATGAGAAATAAAACGAATTGAAGCAACAGCAAATTTGAAAATTTAATTTTTGGATTAGATGAATGGAAATTTTTTTTAATTAATTTTTTCCTGTGTATCTTCATATGAATTTTAACTCTCTTTCTGCTTTCAAATCATCAAGCGAATCCTCTATTTTCAATTTCTTCTTTTCTGTACGTATATCTTCCAAAATTGAAACATACGAAATTATTTTCAAATCTGTAACCTAATCTAGCTCTTGAAGCCATCCCCTAAAGTCCGTTCTATTTCAAAGTTTTGAAATAGTATAATAAGAGAATTTTTTTTAATGTGTTTTATTTTATAGTTCGTCTAATTTTTCTTTGTTTTATCAACCTTTGAAAAAATTTTTGCATTTAAAATAAATAAATATGTATTTGATCGTTGAAGAGAGAAAGAGAGAGAGAGAGAGAGAGAGAGAGAAATTTAAAATACTGAGTGCAAAAAGTGCAAACAACATGAACAGATCTATGCCTACAGCCATGGTAGGGGCTGCGCACAATAGAAGAAATAAGAAATTAGGAATAAAGAATATACGATTTTAATCTATCTGAAATCGGATACATTGAAATATATGATTTCTGATAGATTGAAATCATCTATTCTTTATTCCTAATTCTTAATTCCTTCTATTGTGCGCATGGCTTAATGATTTTAACCTATCAGAAACCGTGTATTCCGATTTATCTGATTTCTGATAGGTTAAAATCATTTATTCTTTATTTCTAATTCCTTATTCTTTTTATTATGCGCAGGGCCTTATGATTCCTGTACACAGAACATTTGCCGCGCGACGGAAGTTGTTGCGACAGCCAATCATCGTCTCGCTTGCTCGGAAGTAATAAATATATAATTTCCACCGCGTGAATAATGTTCCCTATTTCTTTTATTGTGCGGAGTCCTTAAAAGGAACAGAGAATTTCAACCTATCAGAAATCATGTATTGTGGAATACACAGTTTCTGATAGGTTGAAATTCTTATTCTCTATTCTCTGTACCCTGTTCCTTTTATTGTGTGGAGCCCTTTACATCATTTCTATTTTTTTTTGCATGGTGAGGCCGACTTATGGCTCCTTCACACAGAACGTGACACGCTTGCCGCGCAGCGGAAGTTATCGCACTAGCCAATAATTCTATGTTTTTAAGTCGATCTCACCATGCAAAACTTCTAGAAATGTAATATTATTTCCTCTGCGCGGCAAGCATTGAAGCATTATCGCGTTCTGTGTGTAGAAGGCGTTATGTTATGCCATGCCTTGCCATGTGCGGTTGATTTTATGAGAGTTTAATTTGTGAAGTGTAACCTTTTACATTCCGGGAGAATAAAAAAAAAGAAACTCTGATTTGTGTATGTAATATTTGACCATTTGTGCATTAAAAATTTACAAGATTTAAGCTCTATTTTCCAAAATTGACTGCCTGAAAATCTATAGTGCACATAAACTGTAACATTTTCAACATAGGCAGTAAGTTTGGAACACAACCTTAATAGATTCAACACAGCAGTAAGGTTAGACCTTAAAGATGGTTACGAAAGTCAGTAAACAGAATGTGAAAAATTTTAAAAGTAAGTCATTGTTACATTAAAAATACATATATTCTGAATTATGTTTGAACGAAATTATTTCGGCTTATAGCGTTATGGATTCGCTTCGACGCGGACAGTTCTGACAAGCACCAACTATTCTTCAAGGAACATTCCATAAGAAATCAGGAACTGGAATATCCCAGGAACCGAACTCTCTTTGTGTTGAACGTACCACCATACGCTACTATTGATTGCTTGAGCAATGCATTTGCTAATCTGTGTGGAAATGTACAGTCTGTTACATTTTCAGATACGAAAGGGTTTAAAACTGCATATATTGTTTTTAAGAAGGAATCCTCCTTAGATAAAGCTATGGAATTTTCAAAAGATTTCGTAATTACATTGAAAAGTGAGAAAAGCACTTGCCTCACGGGATTAGAAAGTAAGTTATTTATCTCTCGCAATCTGTACGTTTGTTTTTTGTAATTGAACTAGTGTATATTTTTTGAATTTAAAGTGAAATAGATGAAATGTTTGATATTTGACGAAAGCAAGAAAGAAAATTTAATGCAGTTTAATGCAATTTAACACAGAAATGAAAAACAAACTTTATGTGTCATTTGAGGTTTGTTTTTTATTTCTCATATTAGACTGCAAGAAAATTTTCTTTTTTGCTTTCACCAAATATCAAATATATACTTTTATTTTAAGTTCCAAAAATTTACACTAGTTGAGTGATAGAAAAATCTTAGAGCAATATTCATATTCAGACCTTGTATTCAGGATCATCTTACAATATTAAGATATTGTGAACCAATCAGACCGCATTGTATCTTAAAATATTATATTACTTAAGATGATCTTGAATTAGAATGGAGTATGAATATCATCCTGTTCTTTTCAGCTGAATTCCTTTCATTGTTCATTTTTCTTTTTTTTTCTCCACTTGGAAAGAAATTAAGAAAAGACAAACGATGTAAGAAGTTTAGCTGCAAAAAATGAATCTTATTATTTTTAAACTTATTTTTTGTTTAAACAGAATGGTGTAAAGAATATAATGATACTTTGTACGACGAACAATTAATGAAGAAAGACATTGAGGAATGTATAGCTTCGTATGACAAACAAATACAGGATCGTATCGCACAAGAGAAAGCTGCAGAAGAGGACAACGATGGTTGGGTAACTGTAACAAGTGGAAAGAAAAGAGGACAATTTGCTCCATCCAGGAAGGAATCTACCATCGGCAAGGTGCAACAGAAAGAGGAACAACGGAAGAAGAAGCAATTATTTAATTTCTATACTTTCCAAATTCGTGAAACAAAAAAGCAGAGTAAGTACAATTATTCGTTATAAGATTTACAATTGGCAATTCTTTTTGGAATTATGTTTAACTTGTGTGATTTTTCTTTTAGATTTAGCGGAGTTGCGAAAGAAGTTCGAACTGGACAAAAAAAGATTGCAAGAATTGAAACAAAAACGGACGTTTAAGCCATTTTAGGTATGTTATATGTGTTAAATGTTGTAAATAATATTAGGATATAATTATAAGATCAAAATCAATTGCATTTTGTCAAAATTGTTTTATTTTTTAGTAAAACGAATATACGATTGTCTAATGATTGAATTTTTATGTACAAACAATTATTAGAATATCATGATCAAAATAAACTACATTATCGTCGTTATTGTCGCCGCCATTATATTAGGTTGATGCAAAAATGTCGGTTTTTACTGTTTTAAACTTTGGTGCTTTATATTCTACAATATTATGTTCAATTATGTTTATGTTGCATCATTTCAAGTATTAATTCCGTTCTGTTAATTGTGTCAGTAATTTTGTTCTCAGTGTTAACTTTGTCAATCAATTATTATCACTATTATTAAATATGAAAAAGAAGCAATTCCGAGCAATTTTTTATACAAATCTAAAATAGATTTAAAAGCAGCGAATGAGAGCCTTGAAAATGAAAAGCTAGGAATAACCTTCAGCCATTGACAACGACTTGAAAACAATTATTGAAACGGATCCATTAAAAATTATTAGAGAATAATCAATCAACAGTTGTTCGTCATTTGAACCAAATCGGAAAAGTAAAAGCTCAACATTATTTTTGCATCAACCTAACAGTTATTTTCATCTCAAGCTGCTTTAGTAGCATAAGTTTGTAATGTCCATTCTATCAAAAAATGCTGATACGATAATGGTTGTAGAAGAGCTAATAATTCCTCTGAAACAAATGTTAAATTTATTTATTGTATAATATATTGTAAACTAGTATTATATACTATATTAATTATTATATTTATATATAATATTACATTATATATGTATGTATTAGAGATTAGAGCATGAACATACGTTTGTTTCCATAAATACAGTTCGCTGACATGGCCGCGCTGACTGCTTGCGCGAGTCGTTCCATAGCTAGGTCACGCAAGACTGTGTCGACGTTCGGCCGATTCTGCAGATTCGTTGTCAATAAACGAGTAGTAGAGGCCAAATGTTGCGCCGAAATCGCGTGCTTGTTGCTATCATTGTTATTTAGTCGTAGCACCGAGTCCATGAGTAACTGTTGAACTTTTGAATAAAATTTTCGCGACTCCTCTTGAGCCTCTGTGTTGTTCGTAGTATCACGCAGAGGACTCAATATACACCATCTGTAGGCAGAAAAAAAAATAATTCGATACATTAGACACTTGTTTGTCACCTTTATGTGAAGTTATGAAGAAAATGACCTGAATAGGCCCGCTATAGGTGTTATTGGGGTCATCGGAATTCCACCAGTAGGCAATGCCGGATTGTCCATCAAAGGCGTCAACAATAAACTCGGATTTTCATCAATCCATTCGCCTACTAATCTGAGCAGCTCGGTAGGTGGATCTTTGTCCTCGTAAACTTCACCTATCGCCGTCAGCAGGTTGGCAGTGAAATGCGGAGTGAGCACTGGCAGTTGCTTCAGTTTGTCAATGGATCTTGGAGTAAGCACGAAATAATCATTGAGCACGTGCCTCGCCAGTCCTACGCTCTGCGGCGAGGTAGAGCCCAACTGCTGCATCCAAATACCAGCTGCATTTAGAACTGCCTTGTTTTGTGTAGTGATTGCCAACGATACCAGGTTACCTAGAATCTTGTATCTGGAACTGTCTGCTGGAAAGAGCGACAAGAAGAGAGCATTGCGTACTGCAGGACTGCCACCTGGACTCTGGAAAAAGTCGCTCATGATCTCTATCAGCTGCAGCTCCTGTATTGCCTGTGTCGTGCTGCGTTTCTTTCGCTTCTCTATCTCTCCGAATACAAACTCAGATATTAAATCCATTTGCAAATCTACTTGCTTGCCAGGCCTACAGCAAAGTACCTCTTGAACAAATAATAAAATTTAATGTGATTGGGGAAAGAGAAAAAATTTTAATATTAAAATATAGGATGACAAAAAAGTTTGACCATAAAGTTTGTATGTTTATCAAATCATTATGTATCAAGGCAGCAATTGATCGTTAAAATGATATTGAAATCTTCATTTTGATATCAAATAACGTCAACCTGCTATCTGGACAGTCGATTAAAAAAAATAAACTCTGAAATATGTATGCATTAATTACATCTTATTAAATACGAAAAAGATTGCACTAAAAGATTTTTATTGGATTGGATTTAGAAATAAACATTATTAATGATTTTATAAACCAAACTTTTTATCACCCTGTAATAACGTAGATCTGATATTTTAACTGTACAATATTAAATTGTTGAAATATATATTTATACAAATTTGATTTTTGATGAATAGAGAGCGCAGCTAAAATAAACAGATCATAGCGGCATCAAGATAACCTATACAGTTCGTACCGATTCTACATAGAGCTTCCCTGGCGCAGTAAGGGAAATCCAGCTTTCGGAGAGCTTGCTTTACGTCGCTCCCGGACATCGTAACGTAGACGCAATCACCGGATTATTTATTGCGAAGGAAACCGTTCAACTTTTATCATTGAGCGTTTGACAACGTTTGACAGCGATCATGTGCACGCGCCTGTATGTATGCCTATGTGTATACACATGCATGTTAGACGGTCGGAAACCGAAGTCGCGGTGGCGCGCCCCGCGCACGCCGATGGACCATCGCCGCGCAGTGGCGCCACCAGCGAGTAGGTTGCGAAGTGCATTATTAGTCAAAACAATCCGCCGAATTGGTGATCTATTTTTAGGTCGCGCCCACCGTAGCCCACGGTGCTACGCCGTTTTTCCCCGGGAGGTCCCGGAAAAAAAGTTGGCGCGGCCGGTGCCCTTCCGCGACGCCGTCTCGTATCCGCGGATAAGGTTCAACGACCCCCCCTCTACCATCGCGGATTGTGACAGGCCAGGGAGCCGTGCGGCCGTGCGCGGGCCGGCCATGTTTATACCGTGGTGAGAAATTTTCGAGCCGTGCGCCGAGCGTGCCAGCCGCCGTGAACCACGAGTGGGACTATCTCCACGTGCGCCGTGGAAAGCGCGAGTTCCTCGGCCGCGCGTACAACCCGTGCTCCAGGAAGGTCCCCCCCTCGCAGCCTCCAGCAGCGCAGGGTCCGCGGAATCGACGATGGAGTCCTCCGACAGGGGTAAGTCTGTGTGAGGATAACACCAAACGCGTGGGAAACGGCGGCAATATTGTGGCATCTGACAAACGGATCGTGCGACGTCCCCGGAGGGGCAATGGCAGTGTCAGGGTCGAAACGGAACTAGTTCAGTGACCGCATTCGCCGCCGGGGGGCTGGCTGCGCATCCGACGTTTCTACACGCCCGGTCAACGAACGTGCTCTACCCGCCGGTTGACGATAGTTGACGGCCGATCCGGTCGTCGAGACTCGAGGTCGCCCATCGAAACCGCTTGGGCTCTCCGACGAAAATCGCCGTCGCTCGATTGAATCTATGTCACGCCGCGCACTTTTGGCCGCGACTGTACCACCGCGTCGTCCTCCTTCTCTTTCTCCTCCGCCTCTTTCCTTCCTCTCTCTCTCTCTCTCTCTCTCCTCGCCTCCCCCGCGTTCTCACCGTCTCGCTCTCGCGCCTCGGATGAGGACGGAAAGAAAGAGAGAGAGAGAGAGAGGACAGTGTGCGCGCGCGTTACGCCTCCAGGGCATCATCCTGCGGATCGCTCACGGGCACGTGGTGGAATCATTGCCGCCGAAGTTCGAACGAAGAAATCCGAGACGGCGATCCGCCCGCACGGATTCCTCCGTCGTCGGTCTCTCCGATCTCTCCGGTCTCTCCTCTTCGCCGTCGCGACTCGCGTATAGCCGAGAAAGCGACACGGCGACGTTTTCCCCACGCGCGCGCCTCAGCGAGCCCGTAATCCCGTGAGAGTGCGACTGGCACCGGGCGTTCCGCGTTGCGCAACGCCACGGCCGTAACTGCGTGTCTTTAACCTACATCGGGACGGCCCGGCGCGGCGCGGAGGGTACACGGGTACATCACGCGCGGCGAATCGGAGTCACGGTGTCGTTTGACAACGGCGCGCACGGGCCGCATACACGTGAGAATTATTATCGCCTGACCGAGCCCCCCCTCCTCTCTTTCTCTCTCTCTCTCTCTCTCTCATCCCTTCCTCGCCGTACCTCTCGATGCCTCTCGATTCTACCGTCGCCTCGCCTCGCCTCGCCTCCTCGCCTCGCCCCTCCTCGCCCCGTCACGCCGCGTCGCTTCGCGTCGCGACGTGGCGACACCTGCCGTCCGCTCGTGCGCGCCCTACCTCAAGTCACTGCGAATTAACCCTCCCGTGTTGTCGCCGTTCAACCCTCCCCTGGTGCGCACCGCAGTCCCTTCGATCATGAATCGAAGCGGGGAAAATTTTGTCGACCTCGATGCGGCAACCTGTCGTGGAGAAAAATGACTACAAGGTTAAAACTTTTGTCCCTCGCTTTTGCCTTGGGTACTTTGAATTCTTTGAAACCCCTCTGCGTATGATTGAGTGGATTGAGAGGCAGGTTACTGCGAATTCTTATTTATTCTGCGTTTGAATAATGTATTACTATTATTATTGCGAAATAAAGTATTTCGGAAATTTAATCGGGCTTACGATCATTTTTCATTGAAAGGAACTGTAGAATTCAAGGTAAATCGATGCTAAAAATAAAACTGTTTAGGTTTAGAACTGATAAATTAAGATAAATATGTTGTAGATTGTTTTTTAAATTCTTATTTGTTTTATATTTGAATATCATTATTACGGACTGAATTATGTTTTAAAAAAACGAAAGTTTAATCGTTATTTTTCGTGAAATATAAAAGAAACTTGTTCAAGGTGAATTGCCACTAAAAAATAAAATTGATTGGACAAACAAAATCATGTTTTGATCGTCCCGTTTGAGGGCAAATGTGAAGTCAACTGAACAATTTACAGAGTTAACCTGATATTTCGGCAATTTAACAATCGACGATTATTAGCGCAATCGACTGTCGAATTAAACGATTCGTTCGACCAGTTTGATATCTCGTTACGCGAAATTGATCACCAGTCAATCCGAGCCATTTTATCGCGACACACTCGCATCGTACTTTTGTACGATTGATCTATTATGCCATTCGATTATACATCTCGCACACACATTACTCAAATTGCTCATTAATCCCGTTAATTCACGTCGGTCGTTTCAGCGCGACGAATTCAACATCATACAGATTCATATGTTAATGATAAACAAGTCTCTTGAAAGCTCGATTGAACTCAACTGTGTAAATTTGTGTCAGTTTTACTATTAAAAGATACAATTAGTTTATACACTAAGGAAAGAAATTGTTAATTTTAAATTACTTTAGTTCGTCTTTATTTCTTTCGATGAAAAATGTATGTATATTTAAGTCGAACATGTACTTGATTTTAAATAAATATGTACATTTTTCAACGAAAGAAATAAAGACGATTAAATTAATTTAATCAAACAAACAATTTTTTTTTCAGTGCAATTCCTTTGGCTTTCTATTTTTTTTTTATTTTGCAAAGCTGCACTTGGAAAAAAAATAGTTACAATTAATAATTTAATTATAATTAAGCGTAATTTATGGTCATTTTGATGCTAATTGAATATTTTCGATAGGATTATAAATATAATTATTATTATTAACGTTACAGCAGTAACAGTAACTTACAATATTAACTATAAAAATGGAACTCCTAACTACAATTATTTTATCATGCAATTAAACACTGAGAAAAATACTAAATTTTAGTAAATAATAAATAAATATTTACTCCATAAAATGTGATAGTTTAATCAAATTACTGGTTTTTATCAAATAAATATATATATCTTCATATTTAGCAAATATTATTCAGATAAATGATTTAGTAAAATTTAGTACATTTTTTCAGCGTAGTCACAAACACCAAACACTTCATAAAATATGATAGTTTAATCAAATTAATAATTTTTGTCATATAAATATCTTCATATGTAGTAAATATTCAGTAAATATTATTCAGACAAATGATTTAGCAAAATTTAATATATTTTTCCTGCGTAGTCGCAAATACCAAACACTTTTCTCTCGGTGTCATCCTAATTTGGGTATTGGACAGCGGCAATTATTATCGATCTTTGGGTAGGCGAGAGAGAAAGGAAGCGCGATGATGTCGTGAATACGCGCGAAGTAAAATTGCGTTTCGCGGGAGCGTCTCGTTTCTAAGTTTGGCGCGGTGAATGTGGCGTGCGACCCAACCGATGACCTTTCTGCATTCATTCCGGTCCCCGCGAGATCACGGCCACGACTCCTCCGCCTCGTTCTCTCTTCTCGCTGCTCTTTTCTTCGCATACCTCGTCGCCTCGTTACTTTCCTCTCGCTTTTCAAGACATCGCGCTCGAGCACGGCGGTCCGTCTTATGGGATAATCCGCGAGATCAGTTGAGACATTCGTACTTAACATTCTTGAATTTTAATACACGACCGAAAATCTGTTGGAGAAATAGGAAGAGAGGAAACAAAAGGTAAAACCGTCGCTTTTAAATTCGCAAAAGAATGCATTTGACTAAACGTTTGCCGAGAAATACTAAAAGATATTTCATATACTTGTCGAGATATATAAAAAGTGGGAAGAGACGTAGATATAGAGGTTCGGAATTTAAAAAAGAATTCTATATTGATATTCGTGATAAAGAGAATTTGTGGAAAAGCAGCGGTTTCTGAGATTGAAACGAAACTACCAGGAAAAGAAAAAAGGACGGCAGGAAAGCGGAAAAGGCGGGCATAAACAAAAGTGCATCTGAGTTTTCTGACCTGCCGACCGTTCTAAGAGGATCCATAAAATTCCGGGATTTCTTTGTCCTGGATAGGATTGCAGGCTACACGTTCCACCAACGTCGCCCTTTATCCTTCATTTTTAATCCGCAGTACACCATCCATGCGGCATTTTGTTCTCTTTCGCAAGCCTCCTCTCTCTTTCTTTCTTTCTCCTCTCCCTGTTGGTCTCTTCCTCGTTATATAAGTCCAAGGACGAGCCACACTGCTAACGTGTTCCTCTCCCTCCATCTTATCGCTTCTCTCTCTCTCTCTCTCTCTCTCTCTCTCGTTTCTTTTGCTCTCTCATTCTTCTTGTCCTTCGCTCTCCTTTTTCTTCTATCGCTCTTTCCTACTTCGTCTCGTTCCTTCTGCATCATGCATCGCATCAGACGACGCCTTATACGCTGCTCCTGTTATTCTTCTAGCTTCCATACTCCTTGCCTCAGCGTTCAGCGTAGTTCAGGGTCTTCCAAAGCGAGCATCGCGATTCCCGAAGAGAGGGAAGGTGGTGTGGGAGAGAAAGAGAGAGAGAAAGAGCGCTAACACAGGCGCGACGCGAAATCTCAAAGTGCAACAAGGTTTCTGCCGTTTTAAACCGCAGGCTATCCTAGACTTGTTAGCTATACAGGGTGTTCCAAGCACGTCTTAGCCATCTTTCACTTTCTCAAAGGCACGTACAATTCCTCAGGTATAGAAGTCGAAACGAAGAAGATTAATCACTTCTCAAGCATTGCTTTTTCAACGAATCGGTGCAAGCCCGAAGCTGCTTTTGTCTGTCTTTTGAATTTGTTCTTTCTTTCTTTTTTTCTTTTCTTTTTTGGGTTCACTAACATTTATATTTTATCTTCGAACGGTCGATTTATCGACCGGAGTCATCTGGAGGCATTAAATTGTAGATTCTGTATACAAAAACAGAAAAATACATATTGTACGCAAGTAATAATTATTTGTTTTATGTATTTCAAAAGTTTGTATATCCGCAAATCTATTACATTTATTACAAAAAAAAAAGCATCGACTTTATTCAAATATTCTGAGAATCTTATAAGTCTAATACTTCAATTAAGATTATTAAATATAAAATAAATTCGATTTATTCTTTACATGAAGTCGCTTCTTCGATCAATTTTATAATATCTTTCAAAAGAAAATAAATTCTTGTCTTGAGTACATGATGAATTTTTTAAAATTCATTTGTAATAAGTATATTTTAAGATTATTATCACAAAATATTCTTTGTTAAAGATAATTGTTAAAAGAAAGAAAGTGTCGAATAATTGAGTAACTTTTCTCAGCAATAGAATAATATTTTATAGCTTTGCTATCAGCAACGCGTAATCACAAAAAGAGCTTATCAAAGAAACTATAAAAAAAAAAAGAGGAAAATACAGTTATGATATAATCCAGAAGGCGTTTCCACTATTCGCTATTTTTATCGTCTCCCGCGAGCGTCATCGGTAAGATCGCGAGGATAGAAAAATATTCAGTAAACTGTCGGCCGTCGTTAGTCGTCATTAAAGCGGGAGTTCTCAGGTGCGGTATGTCGTTTCTCAGAAGCGGCGTGCATCGTATCTAATTGCAAATGCACCGTCGTTACTATCGAAACACAGGACGAGACGTTTCTTCCTCTCTGCCTCTCTTTTTTTTTTTCTTCTCGTTCGCACACGCTCGGATTTCGCGCCAATTAACGAGATAGAATTTCGCGAGCGTGGGCACAGGACATACACATTCGCTATTTAGATATTCGACCTGCGGTATCGCACGCAGCCAGGATGTCCTGCAGTTAGAAGCGTTGCCGGTTTTCCTGGCTGAGAGGAGTGAGAGGAACGGAAAGGAATCTCAGACGTGGGCGAGAAATTTTGACGCGACTTGTTTACTTCGATTATCGACGTGCGATGCGACGATAATCGTGGAGTAACGAAAATGAAAACCTAACGTTCCATTCCGTAGAAGACTTCGAACAGGCAGATACAATGTCGCTGCTTTTCTTGCATCTCCTGTTTCAAATCGGACGACAATACAAATATCCCTCGGTACATACGATCGGTCCTTCCTCTGGGATTCTTTTTCTTTGAAATATTAGAAGCACCTGGCTAAATAATGGTCTCTATTTTTTCCTTTTTTTACATACAATTTTACAAATATTTTCTAAAGATGTTAACCATAATCGGTATTCATAGAATGATCATCATCCTATTGAATCTATGAATACCGATTATGGTTCCATTGCAGTAAATATTTTCTTCAATAACGTTGTGGAAAATTTATAATAAATGTTTTTTGCAGCCTTATATAGTAGCCTTTTACGTAATTTTGTTCTTTAGATTTTTTCTTCAAAATAAAAAATCATTTAATTATGTTAACTTTGAGCAAAAATACATTAACTTTGAGAGGGCGGGAATTTATTTTAAAATCTTACAGCTTTTTCATGATTGGAGGAGTTAAAATTCATTATTTTAATGTATTCTTATTTTAGAATATGACATTATTTTAGTACCACTATAATAGATTTCTTATCACTTAATATTTTTTATACTTGTAAAGCTTGGTTTTTCTGATTAACTTGTGGTTAGATTTAAACTGACGATAATATAAAAATTATAGTTTTCTAGTACGATTAATCACTAAACTGATGATTTATGTAGTGACAACTTTAGAAGTTATAAATTAATTTAAACTAGGGAAACACAATTTTTACATCAGGTTAAATGAGATTAAGTCTAAGCCATAAATTAACTAGAAAATGAAAAATTGGACTTAAAAATGATGAAAATTAAAGACACAGGCGACATATTGCATATAGTAAAGAATCGAAAATTCATCATAAGCCTATTCTTTTTGGCTGAATTTTTGGACCAGGAGAAAAGAAGAGGAAGAAAGATGAACTGTTGCAAAAGTTTAGCCAAAAAGAACAGACTTCTTATGTAAATAAAAGATATTCACATGTGAAATTCACCAGTGAAATGTTATTACAGTGCGATTTTTTTTTCTCGTCAATGAGAGAAAGGAGAGACGACTCGATTTTTTAACGATTGAGTGGACGTTCGGCACGACAAAGTGACATTCGATTATAGTAGGCACGCGTGCGATTGACAACTATATAGACGCACGCTTCTCGACGCGTGTTATACGTGCATATACACACTCGCGATGCAACGAGTTTATTGATCGTTGCAGCACGCAATCTGGGAGGAGCGCTGCGCTGCGCTCCGTGCTCGTGCAGAGCGCAATTATGCAATCGCGTTATGCAATTGCTGCACCGCGCATTGTTGCCGGTTTCTCATGGCGAGCGCAGAATGCGGCCTGGTCGACCCAGTGACATTGGCGTTGCTCACCGCGGAAACAGGACACACCTACTCCATATAGCGTGAGCCATGTACCACGAACGAAGGCCGCGACGCTATTTGTTCACGCATCGTTAAGCCTCTGCGTTTTCCTTTTCTTCCCGCGTGCGAATCGCGCTTCGATCTGCCTCCGTCAAGCTTCCCGAGATATACCTCGATTTATGAAAATCGATAACGATACGCATAATTGATATATTTGCAAGCTACGTTTCGTTCGACGTGGCAAAAAAGAAAAAAGGAGCTCGACTGCTACTTATTTAACACGCAGAGAATACGTTTGCGATTCGCGTCATTGATGGGTTTTTTTATTTTATAGGTTTGTCGGTCGACCTGTTGAAAAAGAGCACCTTTTATACTCGCGCTCGCGTTTAATAGCCATTGTAAATTACGTCCCTGACACAGTGACATACTACGACTAACGATAAGTAGCTGATAAGTGAGTGACAAAGGGAAAATTAATTTCCTATCGGTAAACAAAGTAGATTGCATTTTTATTTAGTTTATTTAGAGGACCTTGTCGAAATGTGCTCGAAATTCTGATGCCCTCACTTAAACTGCACATCGTGCAATTATTATTGTTGGATACAATGGAGAAAATAATTTATGGAAACGAGGCTCATGATTTCTTTCAATGTACGTGTGTGACGAGTATTCGGCGATCGGTAACGCGCGTACTTACTGTAATGATTTTCACTATGAAATGGAATCAGATTTTGTAAGTGGATATTTCCGTCATTGCGAATATTCGTCGAAATCAAATCACTTACAATCAATTACTACTTTACGCACGAACGAGTGATTATTTGAAAAATAGAGTGATTATTCTATAAAAATATAATTTATAGAATAATATAAATTATTTGAAATGTTGATGACGTTTTTATTCCCATCATTTGCCATTTGTCAGTCGATTATTGCAATGGCATTCGTACGATGCGGCATATACAAAGTATATGTCATATAATTATCTATAAATATTTCATGCAAGTAGTAATTATACTATATTATACTGTAAATTATCTGAATAATTTAGCGTCATTATCAGAGCAATTAGCAACCTGAGCAACTTGATGAGTTTTCGAATTATGAGGCTGATTACACGAGACAAGGATGTATATAACTAGATATCTGTTCAAGCTCATGGAAATGTTGGGTTGAAACAAACGTTTTATAACGCTACTTTATTTGTATCATGTTTTTTTATTTATTAATTTATTTTTACTTATTAATTCATAATATATCAAATATATATTTTTTATATTATGAATTAATAAGTTTCATGTATCGTAAATTAATTTGATGTTACATCTAAGTTGTATTTAGTTATTTATTATGCTATGGTTACTCGGAATTTTTTTTGTCACAATTACTACAATAAAATAGAATTTAATCATTTGATCAGTTATTGTTGCTTTTAATTGCGATTTAATTGCGATGATTTTTAACGGAGTTATGAACAATCAAATCAAAATGTTCCTCTTATTTAATCCGCAACAATTCAGTAACAAAAAATCTTAGGAACATTTTACAAAAACGATTTTGTAGGAAAAACTTCAAGTTTAATAGAGAATCGAAAATTTTCGCCGAAAGTTTTTTATTTTTGGGTACGTGACGAGCTCATAAAGTAAGAAGAAAATTTCTCTTTGTCCAGCTCGTAGTTTTCTATATGTAAACATTACTAAACTCACAAGAACTCACAAAACATCCTTTCGAAAGTAAAGGAGTTTAAACTTTAAAACTCTCTCTCTCTCTTTTTTTTTTTAAATTTAAACTTCGTTCGTCCTTAACGAAGTTACAGCTACTTGAATTTTGAACCGGCCGAGGTTTGCACCGCTACGAACTTTTGTTCCAACTCAATATAAAACGTACTTGGGCGTTTCTTTATTACCGCGCTTTGTTTTTCTCCTTTTACTCACGTGAATTACAAGTTTCGTGGGGTAACCTTAACGCGCCTCCACGCCTCTGTCGTCCACTTTTCCCCGGGACTTTAGAGTCTCGCCACGAACGGTGGCGATTCTCAACGGCGATTATATCCGAGGCGCATCGTCGTTTCTCGAGGCACGCCGCGTCGGTTCGCCAATTATTTCGCCACGGCTGCGGGACGACCTTGGTCGGGAGCAGCGTTGCACGAGCCCCGCGCTTAATTAAACACGTACTGATAATTTAGTTACAGGGATTGCACGGCGCACCATCCGATCCTCTCGCGAGGCTCACATGCGGGTAGCAATTAAGATATCTCGTAGTTGCGCGATCATGCGCGCGTGTTTCGATTTCTATGCCGGAATTTACTCGGGTACCGTCTCGCGACGCGAATTTCATCGTTGAATCCCCGACATGTCGAGGACGCCGCGGTGCCGACCTCTTACACTCCGGGATCGAGCCGTCGATCGATGCGGAATTGATAGTATTGCAGCAATTGCGGCACGACCACGTAATTTTAGTCAATTGCGGCGAACACGCACGGACGGATCGGTGATACATTATTGTTCGAACATGGAACTACGACGCGTGCGACTCGCGCAATATGCGTTCTATGATGTTAGGGAGAAATACTT